CTATTCGACTCTGGAACCAAAAAAAAAAAAAAAACTCACTGCCATCGAATCTGATCCGACTCACAGCGACCCCTCCATGGGTTTCCGAGGCGGTATCACTACGGAAGTAGATTGCCCCATCTTCCTTCCGATGCTCATAGGAAATGCAAAACGAAAGTCCAATCTGGCACCAAACAACGAAGAGGCCGACTAGACCAGCTCCTGGACGCGTCATTCTGCGACTTAACGACAAGGCATCCCTCACGTTGGGCATCTCCATTGGCCCTTGGGGAAGAGCATTTTGTGGTTTTCCTGAAAGGAAAGTATCTCGAAGAGACCTGTTTCAACAACGAGAAAGTGACTTGGCGGTCCCTGTGGAAGATGGAGATCTCAGCGTGGGGGACGGGATAATTTTTTAACCTCGAGATCTTCTGTTTTGAGAAATGCAAACAGTCGTCACTCTCGGATCCGGCACCGAAGTGTACCCGGGCGGGGTCAGGCAGGCAGATTCTGCCACGCGCCAGCCACCTGTGAGTCCAATCCCGCTTTTCGCCGGCCCGCCAGCTTGTCCTGGGTAGAGGTGGCCTGGGAGCAATCAGTAAATATGGCTTGGAAAAAAACAGAGAGAGGGGAGGAAGCGAGCTTATTACGGGGACTGGTGGACGCTGCAAACGCTTCTGGAGAGGAGGCCGAGTACTGATGCGCGGTGAGGCGTGGGTCCTTGGCGGTGGCACGGAGGTGCTTCAAGTGGAGCGCAGGAGTTGATGAGGCCGAGGCCAAGGGCGGCCCGGGAAGGGATGGCCCCCTCTGGATTCGGTTTCCCCATCCGTCAAGTGGGAGAGGGTATGGGATTTCTCCCGGGCGGTTGCTCCAACAATTCTACCCGGAGGTGAGCTAACCTTCTGAAGAATCCTCTCCTTCCATGCCTGTCTCCAATTTCGTTTTACCGCGTAAAATGCAAACGCCAGGAGGCCACTATCTTTTCAAAGAAATGAGCCGGAGGATGCCAGGAACTCGGGGAAATGCCGATTCGCCCAGACTCTGGCCGCCAACTTTGAGCAAGGTCTGCCCGTTTCCGGACCCCAGCTTCCCTATCTGTGCAATGGTTCAGAGATCACATTTGCAAGTAGCAACTTCACAAATCCAGTCTAGGAGAAGCTTAAGCAAAGGAGGTTTGGGTTGGAGGAGGGAGTTCGGAGAGTCTGGAACCTACATTCTTCACAACTCACACGGGCTCTAAGGGTTTCGATTTGGAGTGTGGTAACAACTCTCCCCACTCCGCAGCCAACCCCCCCCCCACACACACACACCCTTGTGCCACCGTCTTGCCCTTGCCTGTGGGATTCGAGGGGCAGAGTAACGGTGGTGAATGGGCTGATTCCGAGCACCTCAGACCTCCCACTCACCGAATCCCGGAGTCTGGGCGACGCCAAAAAAACCCCACTGGGCCCGGAGCCCCTCACCCTCACCGCCGCCGGGGGCCGGGCGGCGGGGCCTTGGGCGCTGATGTCACCTTTTCCATTCGCCGCGAGCGGATGGTTTCCGGGATTTTCGAAGCGGCGACTGAGGAGGCCCCAGGCCAGTCCCAGGCGTAGGGCCCGGCGGCTGCGCCTCTTGGGTAGGGGCTGGGGCCCTTCAGCCGCTGGAGGGCCAGAGGCCGGAGGAAGTTAGGCTGCAGCCTTGGCTCCTCCGCGGGGGCCGCAGTGCATTCTCCTCCCTAGGCCTAGTGTCCCGGATGGGCAGAGAAGAGCCCTGCTCTCTGTAAACACCTTACTGACCTCCAAGGATGCAATTCCTGGGAGAAGAGGACCCCGGCGCTGTTTGTGTGTGTTTTTCGCCTGAAGGGGGTTTATCTGTTCGTTTACTTTGGAATCCGGCGGCAAGGAGACCGGGTCCAGACACAAGAAGGGGAGAGGCAGGGGTGGAAAGGGGTAGGGGTGGGACAGACACCGACCCGCTAAGGGGGAGGGCCTTGGGGGCGGGGCAGGGCCTGGTTCTCCCCTTCACTCCCTGCCCTCCACTGCCTCGAAATGCTCTCCCTTCACGCAGGGCATTTCCCAGAGAGCCCTCAGGACCTCACTTCTGGGCCCCTCAGGGGCTTGGGCCAGTATGCTAGGGAAATAGCTGGTGTCCAACAAGCTAGCTAAAGCCCCCACTGTGTCACCTCAGTATCTATGAAACAGATTGGGGCTAGACTACACCAGTCTTCAGATTCTCCCAAATATAGAAGTGAGGCTTCCAATCCTGAAAAGTACTGTTTCTCCCAGTCTGATTAAAGAGCTACCCTAGGAGTCTGGGTCTAGGAATCTGTGTGGGGATAAAATGGGCTTGTGACTGTAGATGTAGAAACTGAGGCTTGCCAGGCCCTGCTTGAGGTCATGTAGGGAGTGAGCAGAAAAGGTGCCTGGCCCCTGATTGGAGGGTGAGGTTGAGAGAGGAGGCCAGGAAGAAGAGCCTGATGGGTATAGGGAGCAATTGAAAAAATGGGATCCAACCTTACTCCCCTTGGTCCTTGAACCAGTCCCTCCCTCTTGCTGGTCCTCAGTTTCCCCATCAGTTGGACCAGGTGATGCCCAAACACTCTTCCTACAGGGTCCTCCTGAGCCTAAAAGTGGGGAGGGGCCACAGCTGGTGGTCTCCAGGAGACACTCAATTTTCTTTGTTAGATGGGAGGTTGGGATGGCTGCTGGGCCAACAGGGATGGGCACAGCTCCACCCTCTCTCCACCACTAACTGAGGGGATGCTCAGAGTGGGATAATATCATTTTAGTGGGCCTTGCACCACCCCCTTCTGAAGACCTGTTTGACTCAGAACCATCCACCTGAGGAGTCTGAAGCAACTGGACCAAGGCCACCTTCTTTAAATACTTATGACAACACTGAGGTTCAGAAAGGAACAGACCCTGGTCAAAGTTACATAAAACAGTGGGGGATGCAACAACTAGAGATTGGACCAGTGGAGCTCTTAAGGTCTGAGTCTTGCCAGAGCCTCTGGTAAGATGTTTCCTTTTCAGCCCCTATAGACAAAAGAGTCTCAGCCAGTTCCTAGTCCCCACAGGGTCCTGGGCAAGTGCCAGGGAGGTAGGGCCAGTCTCAAGGCCTTACTGCCAACAGCTAAAGTGACAGAAACTCCATCCACTTGGGAGGGCCAGGGCAGTGGATATGGTAACCCTGTTTTCCAGAGATGAAGACTAGGCCTCAGCAGAGTTCACATAGGGAAGCAGTGGCCCAGGACCTGGTCCCCAGTTAGGGACCAGGTTCTGGCTAGCAGTGGTGGAAGGGGTTGGCAGATAGGAATCTAAGTCTCTGTAAGGGAGGGGCAGGGCAAGCATCCCTCTCCCAGCCTCCTTGAGAAACTTATCCATACCTGCTTTCATCCCATCCCTCCTTACTTGGAAGCACTAGGTAACTCCACCCCCCACCCCCCACTGCCTCAGAAATAGCCTTCAGGTCTCCAGGTGTCTGACTCTCCACCCAGTCTTCACAGCCCCCCAAGAGTTAAGTGCCATCATCTATTTGGACAGGCCAGGAGACTGCCCAGGGAAGGGAAGGGCCATGAATAAGAAGCTACACATTATTCACCACAGGATTTGGAGCTTATGTTCATACAAAGATGGAAAGGAAAAGGAGCCAGAGTAGATGCAGCTGCCTTTCTCAATCACATTGAGGACTTTGAAGCCCAGAGAGAGTCAGGTCATACTGGAGTTTAGTCCCCGGATTCCCAGCACATCCTGTGGCCCCCTACCAAACTCCCCCCAGTATATTTTCTTTCTCAGATACTTGAGAAAGTTCAAGAAAGGTGAAACTGCAGCCTTGCTTTCTCCTAGCATCAGTTACTTCCTCTAACTAGGGGAACTTAGCCCTAACCCAGTGTCTTGTGTTTTCCCCAGAGGGAGATGTATTCACACATTACTTGGCAATTTAAGCAAACTAATTGGAGAACATTTTCCTCTCAGGACCGCTCAGAGATAGAATAAGGGAATGAGGGCAAAAGAGGTAAACTGAGGCAGGGGTGTGGTGGGTAAGTGCAAACGTGCAGCTCCAGCTCTCTGAGGCAGCCTCCCTGTCCCTAGCCCAGGGGTAACCCTAAACCCTGGCAGGAAGGCCTATCCACGTCAGGGCCACCTCCTTCCTTACCTGGCTGTAGGACTTTTGCCTTCCTCTCAACCCTCCGGGGCTCCCTAACTCCTAACGAGGCCACTGCCTTCCTGCTGTTCCCTTTCTTTACTGTCCTCCCCTTTCTCTTGTCTGGCTCCCCTTTAGGCCTCTGAGCCCCTGTGTCTACTTCGGTTCGTCTGTTCCCTCCGGCGGGCCGACCCGTTGCTGTCTGTTGTCTCTAGCCATCTCTCTAGGTTTCTCTCCAAGTCTATCTCGACGTCCTTCGACACCCTCAGAATCCCTGCCTTCTCTCTCTTGAGGACCTCACTGACTCCCTCTAGTCTCTTCTCTCACCTCGCTCCTGGTCCCTGTCTCATCTCTCCGGTTCCGGAGCACTCCGGGTCTCTCCCAGGCGTCTGTGTGTCCGCGCGGCCTGTCTCTCTTTCAGAGCGCTCCTGCTTCCCCTCCTTCCCCGCCGAGCTGCCAGCGCGCCACACCGCCTCTCTAGGTCTCTGTCCGCCCGCCCCCTCCCTCGCGGCCGCCCTCCCTCTCTCCCTTACTCCTCTGGCTCCGACAACCCCGGACCACAGCTTGGGGCGGGACAGGGTGGGCGGGTGCCGGG